TTATTTATTTTTAAGAATTTGGAATTAAGTATGTATCTTTGTTCAAAGGATACTGCAGTTTTATATTAACGATTCTCAAGAAAAAAAATTTTTCAAAGATATTTTGTAACTGAGACATAAAATTTGAACAATTTTAACTGTGTACTAGGGTGAATGCTCTGAGCAGCATGTAAGAAAAATATTAAGTATCAAAAAGGCTATAAATACAACACATTGCTAAGCTCAGCACTTATCCTTATTTAACCACATCTCTAAAAACCAAGTTACATAAATCCCAATGTGATATTTTACAAAGCTGATTGAGTAAAGCTATATTTTTACTTTAAGCACTTGAAATGCCAAACTTGAGGAAATACTGACACCTTGTGGAAAACCTCAGAAAACATTTGCTTTCAAACTAATGGCAATTAATTACAATTTTGCCTTTGTTTTTATCAATTTAAAAATGTTTTCCTGGAAAGTATGGCTGAATTTTAGATTTAATCTCCTTTACATTAATGCTCACAGCTTAACTAGGAATAGAATTATTTATATTAAAAGGACTCAATAGAAAAAATAGAAAAGAAAACAACTTAAAACCACAATTTAATGAAGAATTTAAAGATTTTTTGGCAGAATTTTCACAGTCTACACTTTAGACAAGTAATTATTTGATAGCAAGAAGAAAAAAGGAAGAAAATACATCATACTCACACTGGCATGCTTTATACCTACCAAAAGAATAGCCTACCTGAAACTCAAAAAATCCTGTTTTCAAAGCTTCTTTAAACATCATCTTTTCATAGTTTTGATCTGTTTTTATAATTCCTGCATTCATTTCACTATTGAATAAGCAAAAAAAGGTCATTGAGTTTAAAGGCAATTATATATAGGTATAAAAGGCTGCTGCATATACTACTAAGCAGTAAAACGAGAAAAATGCCTGAAACATTTAAAATTGCTCAACACATCATCATCTTTGTGTTCCTTAAAACTGATTATCACAGTCTGTCAGTTGTCTATCCAGCCTTAAGTATTGTCATCTGACAATGCTTATGACTTCTGTTTATGATAACACAGTAAACGATGCTTGCTTAAAAATTCCTTGATGAAAACTTTGTTATAAAGCCCAAAATGCAATATGAAAGTAGCTTAACTAAGGTTGTAGCCAGGTTTTAACCATTACATTTTAAATAACTAATAGCAGATATTAGGGAAAATATTTCTCATACCAGGGCCCTTCTTTTTTTTTTT